TTGGAGAAAGGATACCCGGCCAAGGAAGGGGGCACAAATCCCACGAGCGCCGACCTTGAACGTGTCCGGCTGCCGAAGATCCTCCCCTACATGCAGGAATACTCGCGGCCGTACTTCTTCGGCTGGCCGGTCACCCTCGAGTGGCTCGCCCTGTTCGAAGAATGCGCCAGTCCGTACGTCGCGTCGGTCGGGCAAGGCTGCATCGGAAACGCCATGTGGCTCCTAAAGGAGCTGTGCAACGCGGCTCACGACAGCTCCGACTTCGACCTCATAACGGAGTACGCCGTGCACAAGGACGCACCCGTCCAGCCCGAGGACGATAAAGAAGAGTGGCCCCCCGCCGATCTGCAGTTCTGGATGGTGTCGATCCGGAACACGGTCTTCGCCTGTGACCAGATTTTCGCGAGGCCGACGCGGGCCCAGTACGCGTGGCTCAACGAGATCATGCCTGGGGACGAGGAGCCGCAGTGGTTCAAGAGTTTCCACAGCCGAGCGCAGTACTATGATCTCATATCGTAAACGGTGTATAGGCACAGGAGGGCTTCGTGTAGATCCCGACATATCAATGTATTCTAGAAAGTTGGGTCCAAGCGGATGCCAGGATAATCCTGGCCCCGTTGCTACCCCGGTTGGAGATGAGAGCGGCAACACTAGCATCCGTGCGCAGGGAGTTGACGGCAGTGGACAGGCCATCGAGGCAAGTGATGACGGAGCGGGTGTCGGAGTCGTAAGAGGTGTTTGAGCGATCCTCCGAGGGGTCGCAGAGGACATCGTGAATCGCACCTCCAAACTTGCGAGCGCCTCGCTTGAGCCCGTCTTGAACGTGAATATGTACGCCTACGTATTTCACACAAGGTCAGATCACTGCTCTCATCGACCGAAGCCGGGCCTTGTACACATCCCTGTCTACTCTTACACGTGTCCCACTACATCGAAAGCGCATGCGGTTACTTCAATGCACCTGCGCATAAGTGTCGCAGACCCGCAGCGACTCGATATACTCCTCTGTCCCGATGACGCCCCGGTACCACTGCGGCTCGCCCGGCATGACCGCGCGCAGCCACATGTACTGCGCCACCGTCGGCAGCTTAAAGTACAAGTAGTCCAAGAACGCCGTGTTGCGGATCGACGCGACCCAGAATTTGTGCGCGTTCTCGGAATACACGTCGTCCCTCCCGCCCTCGCTGGTGAACGGCGCCGCGGGATGCACGACCGGCTCGTAGATGATCTCGAGCCCATTATCTGGGCGCACCGCGCGCGAGACCTCGCGCAGGACTTTCATGCCGTATCCCCCGTAGTGGTCGTCGGGTGTGGGGCCGCGAGCGCATTGCGCGAACACGCGGAGCCACTGGGTCGACGGTGACGGCCCAGCCGAAGAAGTAGAGCAGGCGCGCGTGCTCGATGTGCTCGGGCGGGAGGTTGAAGTCGGGTGCAAAGGCCGCGAGGGCGGCTTTGTCGTGGCTCGCTGCTGCGGGGTTGGCCCAGCGCTGCAGGACGGCGGTGATCTAGAGAGTCGGTGAGCCGCCTGCTGCTGGTGGATTGGGTGGGATGCAAGTTGACTGACCCGTTCACGATCGTCCTCCAAGGAGAGCTCGGCGAGAAACCTGATGGGGCCATCCAGGGTTCGCTATCTGCTAGAGATTTGCGAAGTTCGGGCTTCGAACAGAACAGTAAGAACTGGGCCGGGATACTCGAGCGGAGACTTCGCTCACCGTAGCCTGACGTGGCGGAGCCATATTTACGAGTCTTTGAAGATATGACAGTCTACAGAGCCAGTCTAGTCATCTTCCAAGTCTACGACAATGCCAGTGGGACTCCACAGTCAACGTGGAGGAGGCGAGGTGCAGGCATCGGCGCGCCGCCTGCCGTGCGGTGTACATGTGTCGGATCCGTGTGCAGCGCTTGAATCCCAGTCGCGTCCACTCACGCATGGCTGCCGCGTGACTGAACGCGCACGCCGAGCCACCGTGAATGCCGGCACGACACCTCTCCGCAAACCTCCCGCTAACCTCGTTGTGTCCTGATCCCTAATCGCCCTCGTGAAATATCCACTGGTAATTTGGGGAGCCGGTTGTCCATGTCAGCAGTAGACACCTCCTCCGACGGGGCGTGACCCGGGCTACAAGCTGAGTGCCACTTGCCGACTCCGGCTCCTACCGCGGTGAGTCGAATCCCCTCTCAGCAGCCTGTAAGTATATCTCACAAGCATAACGCGAAGGCCGACGTCTCAGGCGGAGATTCCGCTCCGCTCGTATCCCCCGACGAGCATGAATCGTGGGCGGCGACCTCCAAACACCTGGCAGGACTTTCCTTCGAAGATGAGTGCGTGCGGGTCAGTGCGCTCATATCTCGCTGAATTTGCAAGGAACTCACTACGTACAGATCTTAACGATCTTAGAGAACGGGTATCCCAGCAAGACACCTCCCGAGGGTGTTGCAGGTGTTCGGAGCGTCCGACACGTCGAGCTGCCACATGTGCCTATCAAATGGGAGCGCGGAAAGCACACGCGGCCGCACTTCTTCGGCTGGCCGGTCACATGGGAGTGGCTCGAGCTTTTCAGGAAATGCGCCCGCCTGTACTCCAAACATCGTTTTGGAGGACACGTTTACGCGTTGCTGAGGGAGCTGTCTGGGGCAGGCAGCGACGGCTTTGATCTCAACATAAGGGTGGCCGTGCACGAAGGCGTGCCGCTCCAGCTTAACGACAAAGACGATGAATTTCCGCCTAAAGAACTGAGGTTCGAGATGGTGGCGATCCGGGACACATTGACCGCGGAATGCTACTTCGGCACGCGGCCGACGGAGGCCCAGTACGATTGGCTGGACTCAATCCTGCCTGGACAGGCGCAGTGGTACAAGAGTATTTGGACCAGGCAGAGTATTATTGAGCTCGAGATGTAAGCTACGTGTAGGAGTACTACGAGGGCCGTGTGTCAATGCCATCGAGAACTAGGAACGCATCTCAGGCTGACTGAGATCAAAGGAAGACATCTATGTATACAGCGACTATTCATTTGCAACATATCCACGCGCACCACTACGCGTAGCCAGCATCAAACACCCCGTCAAGCACGAACACATCCACCACCTCGAGAAACTGCGTGCGGAATTTCTCCAGCGCCGGGCGCATCGCCTCCTCCCACTCGTCCGCATACGCACCAAAGTACGCCAGCCGCGCCGCGCCGCCCGCCGCACGCACGCGCAGGCACTTCAGCACCTGCCGGAACGCGCCCCTGCGCCAGTCCCAGCCGTCAATCCGCAGATGCCTGAGCGCGGGGCAGCGCACGCGGCCGTGGGTGGAGAGCGAGCGGAGCATGGCGCGCGGGAGGCTGTGGGACGCGTACTCGCAGACGAGGAGCTTCTGGAGCGCGGGGAACGCGTCGAACACGCGGTCCCACGTCGCCTGCGGCACGTCCAGCACGCCGCGCAGCTCGAGCGCGGTCAGCGCGGGCCCGAGGTGCGTGGGGAGCCGCGGGAGCTCGCGCGCGAGCCACAGCTGCGCGTCGAGGTTGAACAGGTACGTCACCAGGGATATGCCGCTGGCGGGGTTTGTGAAGTGGAGGCCGGTCTGGCCGGAGACGTCGAGATAGGCGGAGGTGACGCGCTGGAGGACGGGATATTGCGTGCGGGGATCGTCCGGAAGGAGGGAGGCGTGGACGGAGGGCGGCACGTCGTCGTCGTTGCAGGATCCCAGGAGTTCGAGGTATGAGATGGCGGGGGTGTGGAGGTGCGCCATCAGCTGCGCGATATCGGCTGGGGCATCTCTGCATTCGAGGTGCTGTAAAACGGGGAGCGTGACGACACGCTCGTGAAGCGCAGAGCTTTGGAGATTAACCGCGGCCGAGAGGAAATTATTGAGATAGAGGTACCGAAGGCGTTGACCGTGTTCGAGTACGTCGAGGAAGTCGAGGAAGGGAAGCGTTGGTGTCGACAAAGAGCAATCCGTGAGAGACAGGATCTCGACATTGGCCAGGACCGCCTTCGTCCAGGGTACCGAGATGTGTGTGAGCTCCAGCCGTTCGAGGCCAGCGCAGCGGTCTGCCACAGCGGTTACTGGGCGGGCTGTCTCGTCCATCGCAATTGTGAGGCTCCGCAGGACAGACAACGAGCGCGATAGAAGCGACTCAAGGTAGGGCGCATCCTCATCAGACACCGCTCCTTCGAGTGCCAGCTTCTCGATGCGGCCAGCGTGCACCTCAAGCATCGGCAGCACCGCTTTGAGGTCGCAGTCGGACGCGAGCTCTAGACGGATCTGAGAGCTTCCCAATCGGCTCAAAGCGAGGTCGAACCACCTGGTGTCCGTGGCGATGGTGATGTCGCTCCAGAAACAGGCGCGGTTCCGGATGAGGGCGCACCAGTGACGGCACACGAGCATCAGCCGTGCCCAGGGGCGCCGCGCCTCTTCTTCATATGGAAGAAACCGGGACGGCGGCTTGTCCGGAAGGAGTGCGGGCGCGAGTTCCTCGAAGATGTGGAGGAGCACCTCCGCGGGAAGAGAGTGGATGGGGAGGTTCGCGTTCCACAGCGCCTTCTGGCTGAAGTGCTCGAGCTCGGACTGGGTTCCTTCGAGGCGAAGAGTTGTCTCGTTCTCGAGATGACTGGGGGTGCGGGTTGGCGAATAGCGACAGGAGTCGATGTCGATGGTGGGAAGGCCGTATAGGGGCCCGGGCAGTTTCTCGTCCAAGAGGATGCGGGGCGATGGGGAAGCACTTCCAAGCTCTGGTGAAGACGCCTTTCTGCTGCACAGACCATGAAAACTGCTATTCAGAAAGATCTCGCGGTAGCATCTAGCTGAAATGTTATAATAACTCACCTCGCGGTGTCATTGAACACGGACATGGCAACCTAAGATACCTCAGATGATAATATAACGGCGCCAATGAAAGTCGATGGCAAGGTAAAAATCCTGCACCAGCTCCTTCCAACCGCAAATGAGGTCGAAATCGCGCCGCTGCTGAGAGCGAGGATGTGGAGAGAAAGAAAGGGGAGGTGATAACTTAGCGCCCGTAAAACGCGATGCTCGGGTTTCCGAGACCGTCGGAGCTTTGGGGGCCTGGGCATCCATATTGACAGTTTCCTGCTCCCGCCAAGAGCGATCCATACCTGATCGTGGTCTACCACGGCCCTCTGTACGACGGGAATAAGTTGTTCTGGAGTGTCTCCCGCCACTCTGAAGGCCCAGCTGGACGTGGACGCGGTGTCGCGGATTGCCGCCACCGGACCACTCGCCAACCTCTTGCATCGCAGTTAGTCAAGATCCCTAACAACATGCTGACCGGACTTCTCACTGACGCGTTTATTAAAAGCTGACACTACCCGTGATGAGCGTTCTTCGCGGTGTTTAGGGCCTATCAAGGAACAATCAGTGCAGTTCGCCCAGCGAGAGTCGGCGTACGCACCCTGCTGAAATTTCGGAGCGCTTGAACGACCTACGCGTCAACGATGATCCCGCGCGCGCGGGGCGATGCGGGCAAACGGCGTGGAAGGATGATATCAGACGGAGTGTTTGTTCGAAATATATGCATGTGACTCCGATATATATCCTTAGTAGCGCCACCCGTCGAGTTCGAACGCATCGACGACTACGAGAAATTGCGCCCGGTACTTGCCCACCACCGCGAGCGTCACCGTTTCCTCGTCCCAATCGTGTGCATCTGCACCGAAGCACTCCAACCTCTCCGCGCCGTGCGCGGCACGCACGCGCAGGCACTCCAAGATCTGGCGGAATGCGCGCCGGCTCCAATCCCAGCCATTGATCCTGAGATGCCTTAGCGAAGGGCAGCGCAATGGCATGCGGCCAGCGCAGCCAGTGCCGGTGGCGATGGCGGTATAGACCGCACCATGCGGTACCGAGTGTGCAGGGGCGGCGAGGGAGCGGAGCATGGCAAGTGGGATACCGTGAAAGTTGTACTCGTGCATGACGAGCTTTTGCAGCGCGGGGAAGGAGTCAAACAGGCGGTCCCAGCATGCGGGGGAGATGTTGAGCGCACCGCAAACTTCCAGCTCTATCAACGCAGGCCCGAAGAGCGCGGGGAGCTGGGACAGCCCCTTCTCAAGCCAATGTGGCTTACCCCAGCATTTAACGTCACTTTTGAACAGACGTAGTTCGAAGGATGTGCCAGCGGGGTGAGAGAAACAGAGGGTGTTCTCATCGCCATTGACGAGAAAGTATACGCAGGTGATGTCCTGCAGGACGGGGAATCGAGTATCAAGATCTTGTGGAAGCAAGGACGCATGTGCGTTAGAAGGCACGCTGCGATCACAGTCTCCTACAAGTTCGATGTGCGAGATAGCGGGAGTATGGAGGTGCGTCATCAACCTTGCAACATTGGTCGGCACATCGCTGAGTTCGAGGTGCTTCAATCCGTGGAGCGTGACAACACGCTCGTAAGGCGCAGAGGTCTGGGGGTCCAACACCGCTGAGAGGAATCCCGAAAGGTAGAGGTGCTGAAGGCGTTGCCCGTATTCGAGTACGTCGAGAAAGGCGAGGAAGGGAAGCGCTGGCATTGACAGGCAGCAGTCCGTCAGGGATAGGTCCTTGAGATTGGCTAGGACCGACGGTGTCCAAGGTAGTGAGGCTTGTGTGAGGTGCAACCGTTCGAGGCCAGAGCAGCAGCCTCCTATAGCGCACGCACGGCGGACCGTCAAGTCCATCGTGATTTCAAGGCTCCGCAGGGCAGGGAAAGAGAGGGATAGAAACGACTCAACACGGGAAGCATCCACGTCACGTATTGCCTCTCCGAATACCAGGCCCCCGATGCGGCCGGTGTTTGTTTCAAGCATTGCGAGGACACCTTCGAGGTCGCAGCCGGGAGCGAGCGTTATACAAATAGGCGCACTTCCCAAACGGCTCAATGCAAGGTCGAACCACCTGGTGTCCTTATATATGATGACGTCCCTCCAGAAAAAGGCTGCGTTCCTGATGAGGGCGCACCAGTGGCGACATACTCGCATGAGTCGTCCCCAAGGGCGCTGAGGCTCTTCATCAGGCCATCCGGACGATTCCTCGTCCAAAAGGAGCGCTGGCACGAATTGCTTGAAGATGTGCAGGAGTAGCTCTGCAGGAAGAGAATGAATGGGTAGGACCGCGTTCCACATCGCCTTCCGGCTGAAGAGCTCCAGCTCGAACTGCGCTCGCTCGCGGCGAAGGGTTGTCTTGCTCCTCAGATAGTCCGCGGCGCGGGTTTGCGAGTGAGTGGAGTCGGGTTTGATGGCGGGAAGGCCGTATAGGGGCCCGGGTAGCTTCTCGTCCAGGAGAATGGGAGGTGGTGGGGAAGACACTCTCCTGTTGCATTATCCATAACGATGTCAGAGGCCCTGTGGTGACATCCAGCTGAAGGCTTGTAAAGACTCACCGAAGCATGTCATAGAACTGTGGCATGGCGTTCCGTGGCTCCCTGGACGACATTGTAGGGACCAGAAGAGGAGATGGGACGTGGAAAAGAGTGTGAGTGAGACGAGGCTACAGAGTAGCGCCCGTAAACGCGCTGGCCTGAACGGGCTTCCGGGCCGTCGGCTTTGGGCATCCTCGGCCGATCGCGAGGCGGCCTCACTCAGCCATCCGGGGACGTCGAGGAGTCCGTCTTCTTGCGCCTCAGCCACCTCAAGGACTCTGGTCGTTAAGATTGTCCAATATTGAGGCGTACTGTATAGGACAGAGCTACTGACAGTCATATGATGCTCGCTTCAGATATGAGCGCTTGGACTTCATGGCCCGCCGTTCAACTCAAACTTGACCCACAGTCTGCTGTTTACCTCGTCTGCCCCATCTGCCGTGGCCCCGCAGAACTGTAATAGGCAGGTCTGTTCAACTTCCATAACTCTTGAAACGGTTTTTTGATGAACGTACGCGCTTCTATAGCGAGCGACGGGCGCTGGTCCTGCCAGGGTGTGCGTTACCTCGGCAAAGCAACAGCAATGTTCGACTAGATTGCGATATGTATTCGCAGGAAACTATTGTGGTGAGTACAATGTCTCAGAGAAAGTATCATTTGTTGTGATGATTTTATGTGTTTATTAGTTATCAAGTACACGATCAGCTTCAAGCATCCGCCGCCACACCTTCACCTGAGCAACAACTCGACATGCCCTGCCTGTCGCGACACACGTTTCTTTGCCTACTAAGACGTCACATTCCAGTCAAGCTGCAGTTTGTGAAGACGTGGAGAAGAAGAAGGCTCGACCAGATACGTATCATTCTCATGACCTGCTCGCGCTTCGACGGGAAGTCTCCAGACTTAACCGGAGAGCCGAACACAGTCATCAATTCCGCGAGGGTGGGTGTCTACTGCGTAGACGATACCTTCGCTACTTACGCCACGAGTGGCCGTCGTTTACTGCCGCCCCCCACACAACGTACTGGTCTTTACTTTCGCTTCTTCTGAATTACCAATCTATCTACAACATGACTCATTCCGATGCTTTCCCTGCCACTTCGAAGGACATGGACGCGACTTGGACGTCACGATTCAAGCCATTCAAGCCGGACCAAGGCTCGTCGACTCACACTGACATCTCAGTGAGTATATATTCCTAACAACATGCTGAACGGAATTTTCACTGGCGCGTTGAGTAGGTCGATATTCCCCGTGGTGGGCCTGCTCCGCTTGAATCACCCGACCAGTATGGACTTTGGGCGGCGACCAGCAAACGTCTGGCCGGGCTTTCCCTGGAAGACGAGTGCATGCGGGTCAGTGATCATACATGCAACGCGAAATATCAAGGAACCTACGAACGTACAGATCTTAGAGATCTTAGAGAACGGGTATCCGAACAAGGCATCTCCAGAAGGGGTCGTGGTAGATGCCGCCGCGAGCGTCGAACGTTTCAACCTGCCGAGGGCATCCACTTATATGGATAACCACCCCACCAGGCCTTATTTCTATGGCTGGCCGATCACACGCAAGTGGTTTCGGGTTTTTGCGCAATGCGCCAGCCCGTACTCCGCAAATGTCCCCCAGGGCGGTGTCGGATACGGCCTCACGTTGCTGAAGGAGCTGTCCGGTGCCGACGGCGTCAACTTCGATCTCACCCAAGAGCTGGCCGTGCACAAGAAGGCGCCAGTCAAGCCTGAAGATGAGAGTGAAGAAGAAGAGTGGCTCGCCGATGAACTTCGGTTCTATATGGTGTCGATATGGAACACATTAGACGTTCCCGGCTACTTCGTTGCGTGGCCGACCCGGGCCCAGTACGAGTGGCTGAACTCGATCCTGCCTAGAGAGCCGCAGTGGTACAAGGGTTTTTACAGCAGAGAGAATTGTATTACGCTCATGATGTAAGATACGTGCAGGAGTAGTAAAAAATACCGTCGAGTCACTAGCAGTGAGAGAACTTGGATCGCTAACGCTGCCACTGCAGGCAGATGCCCGCCAGTGCGATTGGTCAAAGTGATGTCCTGGCGGTAGCACTCGACTCCAGTATGGCACGGTTTGGCCCTAACGGGCTTAGAGTATCACTGACAATTCATATACGTTTTCTTCGTCGTTGTCACATCTCTCGCGATTCATCTCCATATTCCTATACCTCCTACGATTACCCCTTGTGTGTCCGGTACCGGGGCCCGCGCGGGACCCGGCGGGAACAGCGCACACACACCCTACTTCTGCGCAGGCTGCACGGCCGAGTAGTTCCACAGCTGGGCGGGATCATCAGCCTCGAGGGGCGCGAGCTGGATCTGGTAGCACACAGCGATGGAAACCTCATCGTCAGATCCCCATTCGAGTGCTTAGCGAGCTCAGGCTGGTACGCACCTTTGTGCCGTTCGCAGCGCTTCCCCCATTCCCGAGAGTGATGACGAGCTGCGAGTTCGGCCACGAGATCCTGACAGTGTGTGTTCAGTGCCAATCCTCCGATGCTGCAGCGCCTCGGAAGTGCTAATGGATAGAAGTACCTCAGAGAGTTGTCTGCCGTTTGCTCCACGTTCCAGTTGACCGGGTACGGGCTGGCGATGATGTCGGTGCCACTGAGCACACCTTCTGCGACGGTGAGGAACATCGGCAGCCCGTCGGGCTGCGAGCGGTAGACGCAGCGAATCGCATATCCCTGCCCGCCGTTGGCGATGAAATCCCACTGCAAAAGCGCGCCGGGATGTCAGCGAGCAGCACCGGGGGCATGAGAAGGATATCTCTACCTGCTGGTTCGCCCGTCCGTGTCTGTCCCACCCGTGGATGGTCCCAGGGTTGATCAACGACATGTCGAGCATCGTGCCGCTGCGCGCGTTCTGCAGTAGGTACGGGCCCGCGCCGGGGTCCAGCGGCGTAGTGTTGTTGGACATGATGGGTGGTAAGGGGTGGAGAGACGATGAGAGATCCTGTTTCGATGGAGCTGCGGGTTCGAGAGCGGGTTCGCTGCTGCACCGACGAGAGGCGAGGTGTACTTTATATACGCGTGTGCACGAGCGCTGTGCTTTGTGAAGGAAATATGTGAATGCCAGTACCGAGAAAGAAATAGATCATTCTACAGCAGACCTACCGACCGGGGGCCGTCTGCCACGTACTCCACGTCCTCGTCGCCGTGCCCGTGAGGCACGCATCCAGTGTTGTGCTCATCGGCGCCAGAACGACGTATCTTGGAAGCAATGAGCGAGGCGCTGCCCCGTCGAGCATTACCAAGTATTACGACCCGCCGCGTCTTCAGGAAAGAATGATATGCGCCGTTTCTGTCGTTGAAGATCCCCGAGGCATCGAACACCGCCTCACGTGTGCGGGAGGGCGCGATGCGCATTAGTCTTGTTCTCTTCTTCGGACCTTCGAATCTCCAGCATGCAGAGATACTACGTAAAGTCCACTTCTTCGGATCCGAAGGCAGCTGTACGGTGTCGTAAGTATTACGCCCTACACAGGGAATTGATCCGAAGCGCTTACTACTTCACTGCAACTGTGCTACTAGTTGCCCGTAGCAGGCACGGTACTCAGTATTCAGTAGCCGAGATGGTGTGTAGTTCCATAACAATCGTGGTGGTCGTGGCGGCCTTGACAATGGGGATCCCTTTAGCGGAGGGTATGATTGATGTATACTGTTAGAACAGACGCACGCCCGCCGTCGTACCACCAACGCGTGTACCTCGTAGAGCGAGCTTCGAAACGAGTCACGGAGCTCTTCCGAGACGCTGACTTCGAAAGACCCAAAAGTGCGAGGTGATCTGACACCGCCTTCAAGTCCTCGCCGGCATGGACGTTGTAGCCTGCCTAGACGATGGCATAGAATCGGCGTGTACCTGCTGCATGACGTCAAACTTGGAGTCTGAGCGCTGAGCACCGAGCGGCGAAGCGGGATGTTCAATGTCCTCTGACATGGGTGCACCGGCGGTGACGCAGATGAGCGAGTCGCTCGAGGATTACGCAGCGCGCTAAGCAATGCAGGGGTGGTCAGTATAATTCATTATATTCCTTGATTGAATTATGGGTTGTAGCGCAATAAGCAACAAAAAAGGGACGTCGCATGAACATACAACGTAGAAATGCCTAAGCCACACAGAGCTCGCGAGGACGCACAAATCCAAGCTGATAGACCATCGCCGGGGACTAGCACAACAACAACAACCCATGATTACTCACCGCGGTTGAACTGGTACTTCGCCACCATCTCCCGCAGCTGCGCAGCGTAGTGCGCGTCCATCCAGCCCTCCCCGTAGGTACGACCCGGCTTCACAGAGACGCCCAGGCGCTGCAGCGGCTCTGCCCCAAGCGTTGTGCGCGTACGCAGGCAGTCCACGAGCGCGGCCATGATAACTCCGCCGTCCCAGCTGAAGCCGCCGAGAGCGAGGTGTTCGAGCGCCGGGCAGCGAACGCGAACCCGCTGCGGCGCCGAGTCGCTGCCCGCGTCGTGAGCAACCGCATCTTCGCTTGGGCCGCTGGCCAAGGACTCTAGCAAGTGCGGCTCGAGCAGGTGCGTGTCTTCCCCGTATGGGGTCGTTACATGCAAGGATGTGAGGTGCGGGACTGAGTCAAACAGGTTGTCGAAGATGGCGCGAGAGGTAGCTTGGATGTTGATGCTGAGACTGAGCGTTTTCAGTGCAGATGGACTGAGGAGATCTGCGAGAGCTGGGAGTATCGTGGTCGCGGGAACAATGGTGCGACCCCAATCCCGGAGAGTGGCGGACACTAGGGAGAGTTTCACATCCAACGGCCCTCCAGTGCAATGAAAGGTATCCTCGCCGTACTTGAACGTCCTGCGGATAGACAGAGAGTCCGTAGCGCCTAAGAGGGCACTTCCATGGAGTTGAAGGGGGAGTAGGAGTTTCCAATGATGGATAACGGCATCATTGAGTTCGTCACTGCTGAGCCACCCACATAGATAGACGCAACCACGAGGGGGCAAGCGCACGAAAGTTATGAACTGTCGCACCCATTGCACGTCATCGGAGAAGTCGAGGTTGCGCAGCCGAGGGAGTGAAAATGAATGTCTGGAAGGAGAGGGGAGTTGCGAGCAGGCCGCGCTCACGTAACGATCGAGGTTGAGATTTTCGATGCATTGAGCGGATTCAAGGGTATCTAGGAATGCGTCGGCGGTAATTTTGGGGAGCCCCAGGGTGCAATGTGTGAGCGAGAGGGTTGTGAGGCCGCGCAAGAGAGATCCTGTCAACTGAACTCGGATGCGAGCCAGTTCAAGATGTGCCAGCTGGGGACAATTTGCGGGGAGGAAGAGTATCTGGTCTACCGCCGGGGCTGGGAAAGGTATCTGAATACCATGATCCTTGATCACGAGCTTGGCGAGGGAAGGAAAGACGCCGTCGATCAAGGGGGACAAGGCTGCCAGTTCATCTCTCGACCCATATCCGAGAACCAGGGATTTTATCCGGCCACGACAGGGCACAACATGCAGCAGCACGCTAGCCAGGGTCGGTAAATCTTCAAAGGTCAAATGCAATAGGACCTGATGAGAACGAGATAGGCTCAGAAGTAAACGTTCTGTTCGCTTGTGAACGACTATGGTATCCCAGAAGTGCCCGTGGTCGAGGATGACGGTGCACCAGTGACGGCAGACCTGCATGTAGCGTACGGGGTCAAATCCTTTCCTCGACCATTGGGGCCAGATACGAATGAAGAGGAGGATGTGGACCAGGAGCTCGTCGGGGAGCGTGTTGATTAAAGCGAAGCGATTCGGCATCCCTCTCAGGGCGAAGGGGTCCATGATTGTGTTCTGGCTAGCCGAGTACTGTGTAAGTTCCTGCTTGGATTCAGGAGCATCCCTAGTTGATGCATCCTCCTCGACGGACACGGCACCGAGCTGTTCAGGTGCGGCGGCAGGCAGGCCATGCACATGGCGGCTAGCGAGATTTAAACATCAGCACGCCAATATGTGCATTTTAAGAGTGGTAAAATTCACCGTGATCGTCTTTTACGAAGATATCTGACAATCTGGTCGAACATCGCCGCCCAATTTCTGTAGGGCACCGGCGACCGTGGGCGTTGACAAATGTGGCGGCTAGGCCCACACGCCGCTCGCTGTCGATTTGCGAGTTTGTGTCAACGAAAATTCATAGAGATCGTAGAATGAAATTGACGAACTTCGAGCTCAAATACCGAGGACGGCAGGTCCTCGGGGTCGGTGGTGGGCGTAGACGACAAGCGGAACGCAATTAAACGCCCGTGTTTGTTTGCGCCCGATGTTCCCGGACGCCAATTTCGAGAGGACTGTCGACTCGCGCACTGCCTGGCAGGACACGCTGAATCCACACGTTCCCTTTGCCCATCATCACTGTTGACGCTGTCGCTAGTGATTTTATCATGAGCTGCATGTCGTCTTGTTGAACTTCTGTGTCTACGGCTGTGCCGGACCGGGAGTGGCAGTGATAGTGGCTGTGCGTCTACCATACGCCAGCATGGACTTTCCTACTTACCATATATGTACATTCTTTTGTTCTGTACTTACTTGGCATCCTGCCATCCCTCCATATGATTCTGGTACGTTCTACGATGTTCCGGACTATTCTAGACAGCGTCCGGATTACTTGCATTACTCAGCCATGGACTATCTGACCTTATGTCGATTATGCTCCCTTACTCAGCGTTACTCATCGCTCAGTCAGCGT